AACATGTGTCACTCCTTGATATCCAATAATCAGCTGTATTAAAAAAATGTCTAATATAAATATAACCTAGAATATGTACTCGAGAAAAAGAAAAATATGGCGAATTTGTAGTTTTTTTGCAGGTTTTAGGTTTGCTGGTAGCTTTAAGGCATATATTTGGGAATTTCTTAATCGCTGTGAATATAATGTGGATGGTTGTTCAGTTCCTGAACAACGAAAAATATTCAACTTTATGGATGTATGGATATCAAAAAACCTGAATGGTTTTGTGGGAATATCAATCTAAGGTGCCATAATGGTTCTGATGCACGGCAAGTAAATGAATAAATGTTTGGAAACGAGCAATATCTTTTGGTAGAGCCTGTCATCAAGTAGGTGCTTAATGGCTATCTGCAAGAGGTTTATAGAAAAAAACACCCAGTATCGCATATCAATTGAGGAAAATAATATAAACATGAATAAAAAATCAACAATAGTAACTAAAATATCAATTTTACTCAAAAATCCAACATTTATTTAAATTTTGACTGAACTGTATGTAATTTCTTAATATTCATTAAGCTGGTGATGTTTCAATGAGAAGCGGGTCATCTCATGCTTTGACAGTATTTTGTATTCAACATTTCATAGCTATTGGTTGCTAAAATTTGTTGATTATAACTTGAAGCTCATTCGATGAATTTGACGGTCTGTTACCCTATAGCTGGAGAATAACGGACTGTTGTTGGTGAAAGTGGCCCTTAGTTGAAGAGTTATCACCAAATTTCGACGTCCTTATGACATGCCTGTGATAGTTGGGTTACTATAACTACTCTCTGGTTGAGTCCTGAAATTATTGCAAACCGAACGAGGTTGGTCCCACGGCTACAATATCCTTAGTAAGACACATTGAAACTCTAGCTTCTGATCTCAACTCGTTGCATCTCAGAAATGTGGAATAATTATGATAAACAAGCTGAATGAACTACATTGCTAAGTACTCTATCTTCTTGTTACAATTTCTACGCTTTACAAATAAATCTCTCTGAACTCAGACGATGAGGCTCGTATTTAGTAAAATGAGGAATTATTTTATGCAAAGTTAAAGCAATATACGCATACAGCCATCGTTAATATACAAGAGATATCGTTATCTGCAACATCTACAGCGTTGGTTGTCAGGCTGTCGCAATTACGACCGAATGTATTCAGGCCTGCAGGAATAACTGTAGAAGATGATAACTCGGCTTATCCGAGACTCTCCCGCGCTACGATCATCCTACAGAGCGGCTCAACAACAAAGTGACAATACCGGTGGAATCGTGTCAAGTGTTTCCAGTATTCGGCTGATCAATTTATATCTGAAAGCTGCTCGCCTCTTAGTGTGGGAGACTTCGGTAGCGATCACACGGTTTGTTGAGCAGCCGTTGGAGCCTGCTATAGAGATCTGTTTATCCATGAGTTCAGTTAGTGACTAACAGGCATCTGATGCATCTGAGTCAACAAAGCAAGCATATTTTCAATGAAAGCTAAAGCAAAAATCTCTGAGCTCTTCTCGGTCAGCATGACAGGCCAAATTCGAGGGATTCGGTGATTGTTGCTGTGTCAGTCAGCTCTGACTAAAATTGGATCTCGAAAACTACTCTTAGACTTGAACTTCGGAACCCGGGTACACTGAATGACTTTTTGAGAATTTTAGTAAAATGTTGCATATTAAAAAGTTTACTTATTAATTTTGCGTCACTTTGATATCCATTTGTTTTTAATTTTTTTAAGATTTTTTCTACTTTGCGGCATCAGACTGATATATAATGTGTTCAAGTTAAATTCTTCTAATACTGTTAATTTCTCATAAATCACTCAAGTGTTTTAGATGAAGCTTTGTGATACGACGATGGGGATTAGGGGTCTTAAGATGTTGGTTACATCCAGCTGAATTAGAAAGATCCTTTCAGTCGAAAATACTGCTAGTTTCACTTGCGCATAACTTGCGATAGCTTGAAATTATGACATATTCTGTATTGCCAGCTGTAGCCGACCACCCTCGTGCGTCGAGGTTCGGCGGTGACGTCACAATGCAGTTCGGTTTCAGGCCCAAGGCACTGAGGCTGTCGGACATCGTCCCTTTGCATATCTTATTCATCTTGGAACAGATTGCTGTGCGATATTATAGATATAAAATAAATAAATTGGAAGTTCGTCTACGTCCCACTAATCTTCCAAAGGTGGATAATAATGTTTGGTGGTTATGGTCATTTATGCTTAAACACGCATTAATATTTTTATTCAAGCTTACACGTGACTGACACCATAGTGGATCAAAAGTCCAAAAATGTAGGCAAAATTAGAAAGATTGTCTGACATTTACGAACAAAAAAACCATTGAATTCAACGAGTCATTTTTAATAATGATAATTTGTGTCCTCAGCTTGGCCACCCGGTATAATGCGTGTGTGCTGTTTTTCAAAAACAATAATAGCCCTTAATAATTACGGCTTCTGTTCATGAAATTACTGGTCGTTTCTCGTGTCTTGGCTATATATCATACGAAACAGCGCGATGCCAGAACTGTTATTAAATTGATGAGATAAACGAAGACGCATTCATGACAAAAAATAAAAAAAAATACATTGAATGAATGCATAAATATAAGCGTGTTGCTTAGTTTGGAACGCAAAATATTCAATAAATGAGCTTTGTTAGTTGTAGTATTAGGTACACGGTACCCAATATGCAGGGTGTTTTCAAAGATGAGTCATTTATCAACACGTTGAGCACGGTGTGGCATTAAAGTAATGCCTCACCGACTAGGTAATCTAGGGACGGTGAGACATGACAATAACGTCTCATGTTAAATATTGAATAAGACGGTGTGGTTCGGTGTAGTGTCTCGCTATAATGCCAAATGAATGGGAAACGATAGTTATCCGTCTATACGAACGTTTTCTGCTATCCGGCTGTGGATATTTGACTAAAATACTATGTTGTAGATAGCATACAATTTTATTTCAATTTAGAAAATATAGTTACAGTAAATATAACAAAATTAAATGCAATAATATAAAATAAACGTATATTCTACAGCTAAGAAGTGCAAATGAACTTATATAATGTGGTTTAAAAATAATATAATGGTATTTAAAATGTTAGTCCAATTTCTCAGCATGATGGGTTTCAAAAAAACACGGGATACAATAGATCTTGATACAAGGAGTGCACTGAAATTTAGTCCTCGGTGTTTTGCTTTGCGCTTCTTTTCGACCAAATTCCTCCTTAGCTTTGGCATAACATTTCACACATCTATTTTTCGCATGCTCTTGAAGCTCGTGTTTTGTATTTCTTTGATTTGGTTCATTAGGTTTGTTATTTACACCTAGAAGTGATAATGCTAAAAGCTCCCTGAATTCCGTAATTTGAATTATATTTTGTGTTACTTCTTTATAACAAATAAAAATGCATTGACTAATGTAGAACAAAAAATTAATTCAATTGCTAGTTTCCGGTACCATTTGTTGCCCCTTCTAAGGTAATGTGAATAAGTTTTTAGCTGATCTGACAAGTCAATATAAGCTTTCGATTTATTGTAATCAACTATAGCTTGCGGTTTTTCAATTTCTTTTCTACGCTGATGAGCTTTGATTATTTCATCAGTGTGTACTGTGGTCAATAGTAACACATCACGAGTATCTTTCCATTTGAGCATTACAATGCCGGTACCGCTCTCCTGACCTATTACTTCATGTTTTTTCAATTTTTTATTCAATACTTCTTTTGGGTTTCCTTTTCTATTGGACCTCACTGTTCCTACGAGATGCGTTTTTCTTTGTAACAATTGGGTAGCCAATGAAACACTGGTATAATAATTGTCAGTGTAAAGTATCCGTCCAGTGTCTAAAAGCTCACTCATCAAAGACATAACAACGTTAGATGATGCATTGCCTCCACCTGTGTTATCAAGTCCACAGTATATTTTCAAATTAAATGTATAACCTCCGGCAGTACATAACTTATACAATTTTATTCCAAATTTATTTTTCTTATTTTTTATATATTGCCCGAATCTAAGGCGACCACGGAATGGGACAAGGGTTTCATTAATGCATACATCAGACTCTGGTTTGATGATCATTTGAAATCTATCCAATAATTTGTTCACTAAATGTGTCAGTTTTCGAAGTCTGTCGTTTGCATAACTTTCATCTTCGTTATTGTTGAAATGCCACATTTTCAATAATTGTTCAAACCTATCTCGGGCCATGAGTTCTTTTACTTTGTTTATGTATAAAATGTTAGTGCTCCAATAAGCTTTTAGACGTGGAAGTTTCATAAGTCACATCCACAATATAATTCCAAGAAAATTTTCCTTTTCTTGGCTTGTAGTAGGAACCCATTTTTTCACATGTCCTTTGGCCGTCGGTTTTTCCTTTAGTACTTGCTCAGCATAGAGGTTTGTTTGATATACCATATATTCTATTATCTCATCAGTAATAAATAATTTGAAAAAATCATAGGGCTCCTTGTCATAATTTTCATAAAATTCAGGCTTTATTCCAATATCAGCTTCAGCAAAACCAAAATGTTTGAGTGATGAACCGTCAACAGGACCCCAGTTTATATTTTCACCAGAATCAGGAGTCTGCATTTCTTCATCATCGCTTTCAATTGCATATTGAGAAATGACATCTTCTATTACATTTTGAATCAGAAACAAAATCGTTTAAATCCTCGAGTATATTTTATTTTTATGAATCATTCCAAATGTGGAAAAAGTGAGTATTATTGTCAATGTAAAAAAGTAATAACGTGAAATTTTTCCTATGGATGTCAAAAAACCTGATCTAAAAAAACTGCCCATATGTAAATATTCCAAGTAATAAGAAAGTAAAGGCAATTTGTGAAAAATCTGCCGAAAAATCAATAAAAAAAAAACTTTTTCAGCGGGAGTCGGAATTTGAGAATGGTCTGTCATTTTTTTTTATAAAATCCCTCTCCCAACCAAGCAAAATATGACTTATTACCACTTATTTACTAATTTGTTCAGGGAAGACGTGCATACTACTAAATAAAGATGTCTTTATGATTACCGTGTCTTCCGCATCCACGCTTATATTGTGCTCTGCAGTATATGGACCTGCTGCATTGTCTCCCAAGTCTTTGATTGAAGTTTTACGTCTCTTTGCACGCTCCACTAAAATATCGTTGTCACTGGATGTCTCTTCGTCTGACTTAGGTTTATATTCATCTGATAAATATACGTCCCCAACTTCACTTATATTACTCTCATCATCGGACATACACTCTTCCCACAGCTTCTGTAATGCTGCTTGCTCACGTTCGTAACTACCCATTTTTATCTAATGCTTACCCTTCCACGTAAACAGAGCTAATAAATTAGCATCACGCCGAAATGCGCTCAACACCAGTAACATAATCATACAAGATTAGACCTGCAAAACATGGCATCACGTATATGTCTCACCGTCCATACGCACTGGTTTGAAGGTAAAGACGGCGAGACATAACTGTGATGTCACATGTAATATATTTTTTTAAATATCAAAGAAAGTCATATTTGCAAATAAAACAATATATATTACACATTAAAGACTTAATTTCACCGAAAGAAACACAAAAAAAATCCCGTCCTTGAGACTCAATTTTTTGCACTCTACATCCGTACTCAACGTGTTAACTGCTTATAGGACTCGTCAAAAGGAGTTGATATACAAAAAACCACCTATACAGGGTGTTCTTTGATGATATGCGAATATTTACGGGTGTGAATCTATGTACATGAAAAATTAATGTTACTCTATAAACTATATGGTCCAAAAATGTTTCCTTACAAAATCTTGGGCTGTTGAAGTTTTAGGAAAAAATGGAAATTAATTAATATTTTCAGATATTTCACTGCTATTTAGTACGTATTGGAAGTTAATAAGGTTGCATATTTTTCAATGCAAAAATAGTTTTTAGCTTTAACAGTGGCGTACGTACGGGTATTGACTTCGATATTTTTTAAGAAAAAAATGGTACGTCAATGGTTTTTTGCAAAAAAAATTATTTTTGAATTCCCCGTTCAATTTAAAACAAATGATTTCACTTAAATTGTTTTCCTTCGATGCGCAATTTTTGAGTAAACTCTAAGTTGCAAAATTATTATTAATTTAATTGGAAAAATTAAACACATTAGGGGTAATGAACAACAACAACTGACACCATAACATTAAAACCAACGAAATTATTACAAAAATTGTTGAAAATGGCCCCCTTCACTTAGAATGCATGCTTCTGCTCTCATTCACATGGAATTGCGCACTCGTTGAAATATCCCTGGAGTGTTATTTACTCTATCATAAGCTGTATCTATTCTTTCACTTAATTCCTTTACTGGGTTAATGGGACCTGTGTACACTAGTGTCTTAAATTAGCCTCTCAAAAAGAAATCTAAACTGTTAAGGTCTGGGGACCTTGGTGGCCATTCTTGGGGCCCACCGCGGCCAATCCAACGATTTGGATAAACAGTTTGTAAATAATTACGAATCGCTACACTGAAATGCGCTGGCGCACCATCATGCATGTACCACATATTGTTTCTTATTACTAACGGAACATCATCAAGCAGCAAAGGCAACTGTTGTTGAAGAAAATTGAGGTAAGTCTGTCCGTCAAGTCGTCCCGGCAAGAAGAATGGGCCAATAAAGTGGTTGCCAATAATTCCTGCCCATACGTTAACCGAAAATTGGGGTTGGAAATGGGTTTCGGTTACGGTATCGGGATTTTATTCTGCCCACAAATGTTTATTGTGGAAATTCTGAATGGCATTTCGAGAAAAATTAGCTTCGTCCGTGAACCGAATCATTGAATCCACTAAAATTCTCCAAACAATTTGATGGCAAATATTTAAGTGTCTAGCGATCTTCCTCGTACTCTTTTCAGGATGTTCTTCGACTTCGTGCAGCACTGCTTCCTCAATTTCAGGTATTCTCTAACTTAGAGGTCTACCTTCAGATGTTCATTTTCGGGCAGAACCAGTTTCAACAAGACGACGATGAATATTAGAAAAGGTTCGATTATCTGGCAAAGCACGATCGGGATATCTCTGGTGATAAAACAGTCTGGCTTGCTCACCATTACCGTCGGCAAGGCCATATACGTAATGAATTTCCGCCATTTCTGCATTTGAATAATTCAGCATTATTAACAAGATTCTAAAAACTAAATAATGAAAAAGATGTCACAGCGAACAGATTTGACGAACAGAGGCTTGTCAGATATCAAAAGCCAGTTACATATTCCAGAGCAACTAGATATTTATTGCTAAATTGCATTCTTCAATTATAACATTAATTTTCTCGGACAATAGAACGATTTTAATTTTTTTACTCAAAAATGGAGCATCAAAAGAAACTAATTCAAGAGAGATCATTTGTTTTTAATTGAACGGGGAAATCAAAAATTATTTTTATTTGGCAAAAAACCATTGGCGTAACATTTTTTCCTTAAAAAATATCGAAGTAATTAACCGTATGCACGCCACTGTTAAAGCTAAAAATTATTTTTGCATTGAAAAATATGCAACTTCATTAACTTTCACTACGTACTAAATATCAGTGAAGTATCTGAAGCGGTTCTGAAAATATTAATTAATTTCGATTTTATTCCTAAATCTTCAACGCCCCGAGTTTTTGTAAGGAAACATTTTTGGACCATAGTTTATAAAGCAAACTAACATTAATTTTTCATGTAGATTCAAGCCTTTAAATATTCGCATATAATTAAGGAACACCCTGTATAAATAGATAAAATATATTATATATAAATAGGTTTTTTTTGTAGCTAAATCTGGTTATTTGTGTATAATTTTTGTTTAGCTTAAGAGATATTTCACAGGAAATCGACTATCTTCATGAGATCCATTTCTACAAACACCCGTTCTGATTGGCGGAATTTTCGATATACTATATGTGGCAGAATTCGACCATTAATCATTAATAATGTCAGACACCGTTTGGCTCGACTGCTAGCGAGAAAATAAAAAAATAACAAGACACGGTGAAAAAAACATGTTTTCTGTCAATTACCTCAACTCAAATTCCATTTCTGCGACATGCAGATGTTATCCTAATAACAACGATTGCAGACCGTTGTTTTTAACCCTGTTGGAACAAACCGTCGCTTATTAAATCTCTCTTTGCTCATAACTACAGGTAGTTAGTGTACCTAATGATGCCTGCAATCTACCCATTATTTTCTATTGAAAACTCACTCTCTTGCCTCATAAAATTTTGCAAGCACCAATTATCCTGGCAACGGAGAATTTTTATTCTACAGAATTTAGATTGAACTCGGTTAAATGAGGTAAATAATGAGGGACTGGAGGAATCTGTTGTGCATTTTTGGAATGCTCGTAGAGAGGCGAGAGTTCATATTACAATTCATATTCAGATCTTTTATAGAAAGAATTGACTGAAAAACCATTCGAGAAAATTGCATTTAAGTTTGTTGTTGGATCTCCAAAACTTTGAATTGTTACTTATAATCAAATTATTTATTCATTCGGTCAGTTAAAGTCGGACATGAGACGGTGGATAAATAAGATACCATAAAGTTGAGCTCAACAAGAGGCGTCAGTAAGATCTCATATCAACGCAATGCTTGCCTACGTAGTTAAAGCAGCACATGCGATGTTGAACCGAATAATTTCAAAAGTTTTAGGTGCCAAAATGGAAAACCCTTTTGAATTAGTTTATAGAGAAGGCCCTTGTGCCACACCTTGTCAAATGTCTTCGAGACATCCAGAAGCAAGATGCCAGTACTTTCGTTAAGGGTGAAGCCCCTGGTTACTCGCTCCACAAGCCTAACCGCCTGTAACTCCGTACTATGCTCAGACCGAAATCCAAATTTCACGTCAGGAATCACATGGTGATCTGATTAGTCAAGGACTTCCGCGAACGCAGCTTCAGCGAATTATTAGTGATTTGATCCTTCACAGGCGCTTTACGCACCATGAGGTGTCCAATCTTCTGAGGAAGAATCACTAATGGCGGCGCCGGGGTCACTGACGCCGTTGGCCCTAAAATATCTCGTGACGGATCCTACAGTTGGTTGCTCCTCGTCGAGATCATTATCAAGATCATAGTTGGGAGAGAACTGTCGTTCCATAGCATCAGCGAATACCTCGACCTTGTCCTCTGTCCTGAAGTCTTTGCCCTCAGGACCGTGATGTTCAAGCTTTCAGTTTCTGAGCGACTTCGCCACTTTCCAGAGAGAAGTACTTGAGTCAAGCATCCCCGCCAGAAAATTGTTCCATTGCTCATTGCGGAATACATGGAGACCATTTCTTACTTCATATTGCAATTCATATTCAGATCTTTTATAGAAAGAATTGACTGAAAAACCATTCGAGAAAATTGCATTTAAGTTTGTTGTTGATTTTCAAAAAACTTTGAATTGTTACTTATAATCAAATTATTTATTCACTTGGTCAGTTAAAATCGGACATGAGACGATGGATAAATAAGATACCATGTAGTTGAGATTAACAAGAGGCGTCAGTAAGATCTCATATCAATGCAATGCTTGCCTACAAAGTTAAAGCAGCACTTGCGATGTTGAACTCATGGAAATACAATGTCGACGTTAGTGTGAAGGTGCTAGTACTGTGCCCATTTTGGATTATGGTACAGTTCAACTTCTAGCAAGGATAACTCGGACAGGCTTGAACTCACTCGATGTCTGCTTGCAGAAAGCCTAAAAGGTTGCCACGTTGCCTCCCATTTAAACATCTTTGGGAAATGCTCGGCAAGGATACCTACCGTATCAGGGAAGCAAATTTGCGACAGGAAATGTTAGTGAAGCCCGAGGATCAACCAATCGCGGGCCTGTCCACGTAGCCCTTCAGCAGCCAGAGTATCAAATGAGAGGATAACACAATATCTTTCAACCTTCCACAAGGACTAGAGGTAGCATTTCTCCGGCCTTAGCACTCCCCTCCAGCCGAAAAGGAGGCTTTAAAATGCCACGTTGGCAGATCTGATGAAGCTGCTTCACGACCATCGGACAAATACAATGAGATCGCTCCTGCCAGCCATCCGGCACAAGTGACATATAAATCCGAACACCCAGTTTAAATGGTTTTATTTTAATAAAAGTTGGTGAATGTATTTATCTTACTGTAAATAATAAGTGAAAAAATTTTCAGCCTTATCAGTTGGACATTCCGGTTTTTATACTGCTTTTTTTTAATTCACTAACGCTCTAAAAATGAATATTTCAGCCGCAGTAAAGAATCAACGTTGGCGGATTTTGGTTCTTGACATCCTTTACGATCGGTTACGATGCCTAG